TTTGTTTGGATGCGTTTGAATGTCCAATTCAATCATATTACATCTTTCATTTTGTTTGTAATGGTGGTTTTCAATTGAATTTTGAATCAAGAAGAGTGCCTCTGTCTGTCTGTAAGGAAGAAATAACGATTCAATGATGATGATTATAATCATTTGTCATTAGAACATCAAACATTAAAGATCAACCAACGTGATGTGATGTGATGGTGGTGATTTTCTATGCAGGAAAAAGTTTCATTTTTTTTTTTTAATTTTTGTTCAAAGAATTTAACATTGTGTTTTTCTGTGTGTGTGTGTGGGTTTTTCTTCTGTTTGATTGTCTGGCTAATTGGAAAAAAAATTCCCCAATACTTTTCAAACACACAATTTCTTGTAGAAATTTTCTTGAAATTTCTGTAAAGATTCCAGAATCGATTTACGTAAGTTTTTTGTTTTTGTTAACCCTTTTTCGATAAAAAAACTATTCATTTATTCAATCAATCGATTCTCTTTCTTTTCTCATTTTGGTCAATCCTTTGATGACAACTAAATTTCTTCTTTGACCAAAAAAAAAACAATTCCAGAAACAAACAGAAAAGATTGATCGATTTTACAATGTTTCTGCTTCTGTTTCTGTTTTTTTCAATGTTTACAATGGTCGAATGCAGACCAAAAGAAAACGATTGATTGATTGATTAATCAACCCTTTATTTTTCTCTAAAGATTCTCTCTTAATTATTATTTTATATCCCAAAAAAGAATACAAAAAAAAACAATTCTGTTAACAAAGTGAAAAATGAATGAAAAGAGAAAAGAAGAAAATTTCTTTGTCTTTTACAGTTTTCTCTGTAGATGAAATGTTTCTGGTTTCGTTTTTTGTTTTGAAATTGAAAAAATTTATTGATTGTAAATCGTGGGCGCTTGTTTGTTTGTTTGTTTTTTGGGTTTTCGGAGTTTGAAAATGAATTAATTTCAAATGACCACCACCATTATATACGGTGAAAAAAAACCAATGAAAAAAAAATAAATGAATGAATGAATCATTCAACCATAAAACAAGTCAATCGAAACGAAAAACAAAAAGCCCATTCGAAAAATCCTGGTGCTGATTGGTGGTGGTTAAATTTTGTTTTTGTTTTGTATGTGGGAGGTTTTTCTTGGTTTGTTTGAAAGTCAAAACCGCTATTTTTTTTGGTTACATTTTTTTGATATTGATACGATGGTGGTTGGTTGGTTGGTTGTTACAATTTTTGATCAAACAACGATAATAACATCTGTCAATTGATTGGTGGTTTCTTTTGGTTGAAATATTACTTAGGCGAAGGCAAAGTGTGAAATATAGCCAATTTTGTGTGCGATTAGAGCAATCAGCCAAAAGAAACAAAGAAACAAAAAGGAAGGTCTCATCGCATGAACAACGACATTAATAATTGCAATGATGATGATGATTACGAAGAAATTGAAATTTTCATTTAAAAATTTTCATTTATTTTTAGAAGCCGAAACAGATAGCGAAAAAATTAAACAAAATGATCAATAATCAATGACAAACAAAGTCTGTTTTTCTGTTTTTGCTTCACTGTGTGTGTGAAACATTTTCAAATGAAAATGGAATAATTAGCTTGTTTTGGTTCAGTTTGGATATTTCACGTTGTTTTTTCGTTCTCGTATTTTCTACGAAAACATTGTTAAAAAAACCTTGATTTGATTCGAATGAAACAAAAATCCATCGATTGAAACAATGACAATTTCCGATCATGATTTGTTTTGTTTTGTTTTGAATTTATCACTTTTCTGACAATGACAATGCACATATATATTGGTTGCAATCAAAGAAACAAGAAACAGAAAAATATATCTAAATTTGAAGACAAGATATATCTGTGTGTTTTGCTGTTGTGTTTCCATAAATAAATATCCAATTTTGCCTTTAAATGGGGGGAGGAAACAAACAAGGAAAAGAAGGGGAAAAATTGATTTTTGCATTTTCTGAAGAGAGAGAGAAAAATGATTGAATAAACGTTTTTCATTTTAAGGAAATCAAATTACCTGTGTGAAATAAATAAAGCTGCTGTGGCTGCTGCGATGAAGTGATGAATAGGACTAAAAATCAGTATTTTTAATCCAGAAAAAGAGAGAAGATTTGAAGTTTGATTTTTATTACATCGTTTTTCTCTACGTTGCCTTTCTTTCTTCAATATTGATCATCAGTTGCTTCCACCATCATCATCATCATCATCAATAAAAAACCAGAAATAATTGATCCAAACCAATTACAAGCTAAACTAGTTTTGAGTGTGTTTTCCCACCAATTTGATCAAAGTGTTGCTGTCATCATCATCGGGTGTTTTTTTCCCGAACTTATTAATTATTTCCATTGGATTTTTCGATCAAAAAAATAAAAAAATTCAAATTTTCTGTTTGCAAATAAACTTTTGTTTTTTTCCCTGTTTGTCATACACCTGGTAACATGGTGAATTAGTTTTTGTTTTTCCTTATTTCTGTTCGATGTTTGTGTGTTTTATTGATGATTTTATCTAATTTTTTTTTCCTTTTTTCCATTCATTTACAGGCAGCATTGAAATTTTCATTAAAATTTGTGATCAAACAATCATAAAAACATTCCTCAATCTTTGATCTTTGTCATTGTGAAACATAAAGCAAAGCAAACGAAAACGAACCAAAATGTCATCATCGCCTGATTTAGTTACGGTTGGTCCAAGTTGGTTTGATGCTTTCCAGGATAATGGTGGTCCAGTATTATATTCATCAATGAATCGTACAGCTGCTATTGAAGATATTAGAAATATTTTAATCTATATTAGTTTTACAACATTTTTTGTTGCATTTTTAATTATTTTTCCGGGCATCCGTAAAGAGGTAAGTTTCTATATAATTCTTTCTTAAAGTTTCTAGAAAAAACAGCAAGAGAAAACCATAGAGAAAAATGTCAATATTTATTATATTGACATTATTATTATCATTTCGTTTTTTGTTTTGTTTTGTTTGTTTTTTATATAAAATGGAAAATTGTTTTTGGTTTCAATTGTCCTTTGCCTTTCTTTATGTTTTGTCAATGAATAACACGAAGAAGACCGAGAAGAACCAGAATGACCAAAATTTAATTATACTTTATTTTGGATATTGGGAACCAACGTTTAGTTCCCTGTTTAGTTTTTGGTTGTTTGGAACATTTTCAAATTTTGCTTTTGTCTCGTTCGGAAAATCATTTCCATATACAAAATGATTATTTAAAATTATATGTGCTGTGTGCGAGTGAGAAATTTATAGATTATTTACCGAAAATTGTCCGAGAAAAAAAACAGTTAGTTAGTTAGTGAATGTGAAGTAAGTAAAGTAAATGAAATGCGAATGAATTTCATTAATAAAATTTATTTAATTTGAATAAATTTTTTTTTTCGGCTATCATTTTCCTTGTTGTTGTTGTTGTTGTGATTGGTAAGGAAGAAAAGAAGCTAGAAAAAATACTTAAGAAAATGTTGAATTGAAAAATAACAGTAAACTAGAAAAAAAAACTGCTTTAGATGTAAAGATGTAAAGAATCTTAATGTTTTTTTTCTCTTCGCTATCGTTTAGTTTAGTTTGATTAAAACCACACCAAAACAACAGAAAACAAACAAAAACCGTTTGTTGTTTTCAGAATCTCTTCTTCTTCGATTTGGTTTCGGTTATTTATCCTATTCAACTCTCTCTCTCTCTCTCTCTCTCTCTCTCTCTCTCTTTCTATATTCGCATTCAAATAAAACAATCGGATATTATNTGTTCTTGTGATCGGTTGGAAAAAAGAAGCTAAAAAAATACTTAAGAAAATGTTGAATTGAAAAATAACAGTAAACTAGAAAAAAAAACTGCTTTAGATGTAAAGATGTAAAGAATCTTAATGTTTTTTTACTGTAGTTTAGTTTAGTTTGATTAAAACCACACCAAACAACAGAAAAACACAAAAAACCGTTTGTTGTTTTCAGAATCTCTTCTTCTTCGATTTGGTTTCGGTTATTTATCCTATTCACCTCTCTCTCTCTCTCTCTCTCTCTCTCTCTCTCTCTTGCTATATTCGCATTCAAATAAAACAATCGGATATAATTTCTAAATGAATTTTGTTTTCGTTTTTGAATCTAAATGAAATTTCTTCTTCTTCTTCGTTTCTCTGTCTGTTTTGTTTGAAATAAACACAATAAACATTCACCATGTTCTTCATTGTGTAATCACATTTTTCGTTTTCGTTTGTTGTTGTTGTTGCTGGAAATTTATAACCGAACCATAATAATAATAATAATAATAAATGAAAAATACAATGAATTTTCAAATGATACTCTACTCTCACAACCATTATTACTATAGAGATACTAAACTGACTAACTAAAACTAAAACTAAAACTGACTTGACTGACTGATTTGATGTTGTGCATCAACTTAATAACATTCAAACCTAATATGGATAGAGTGAGTGAGTGAAAATTTTTATTATATTTTTTTTCATTTACCCGAAAATTCGGTTATTATTGAGTGAGTTTTTGTTTCACTCTCAATGTTTGTTTGTCCTTTTTTCCCTTTTCTTGTTGTTCATCGGGTATATGGATGATGATTTTCTTCATCATTTTGCATTTCAATGTTTTTTCCATCTGAATTTAATATTTACATTCGAATAATGATAATAAATTTATTATTGATACAACAACAGCCGAAATAGAAAAAATTATAAATTTTTATTAAAAGTAACCGAAACAACAAGAAGAAAAAAAACTTTTTATTATTATCATTAAAATGATGATTATTATAATAAACAAATGTATTATTTACAACCAAAACAACAAGAAAATTTTCATTGTGTGATTCGGGGTTGAAATTCAATTTATTTTCTATATGAAGCAGAATGGTGATAGAATAGGCCAGAATTTTCATCATTATTACTTTGAATATTTATAAATATGAATGACTGGATGGTGTGAATGGTGTTAAACACATTTAACACACACATAACACACACACACACAGAACTTTCTTTTTAATTAAATGAAAATTTTATTATCTCCGGGTATTTGTTTTGTTGTGAAAAAAAAAATTATATTTTTTTCTTCTTTTCGGATATTTTTTTTTTGCTTCAATTTTCAAAAATTGACTGATCGGCTGAATATCGAATACAGTATTCTGCATTCAGTATTCGGAGAATGCATCTTTTCTCGTCTTTTCCTTTTGATTGTTCTTGGATCTGAAAAAATTGCTTCTTAAATTCACTTTTTGAATTGTTTTCCCGGTACAACAACAACAACGTTTTGCATATAGAAAATACATATATAGAGAGAGTCCAAAGTCATTTAATTTGATTTATGAATTTCTTCTTCTTCTCCCTTTCTTCTTATTTGGTTTATTTAACACTTAATGCTTATGATGGTGAAGAAAAAAAAACGTTAACCTTTTTTTTCTTTTTTGGCTATATCCAAAAAGGTTTTTTTACTTTTTTTTGTTTGTTTGTTTATTTTTTCAAAGTAAAAGTAAAAAAATGGTTAAAATGAAAATGGATTCTTTTCTCGTTTTTTGAAAAGGCTTTTTTCCATTCGAAAACCTTTTTCCCTGGTTTCGTAAATATATTCGGGTATTGTTGATCCCGAAAGCAAAAACGAAAAAGAATTTGATTTTCAAAAAGATTCTTCTTCTTTTTCTTCCTTCTTTGATTTGGATTTTTAATACAGAGTGATCCACACACATATTGGTCTTTTTTTCTTTCGCCATCCATTCTGTATTTACCGTCGTCATTGGATATTTTTTTTCCGTTGTTTTTTTTTCTTCTCTCAGAATTTCTTAAAACAAGATGGCCATCAAAGAAACAAAAACAACAAAAAATATATTCTGCGTGTTTATCAACGAATAGTGTTATTATTTAGTTTTTTTTTTCGTAGAAAAACATAAGATCCGTTCGTTCGCTCGTCGTTGCTCTAATCATCAATCATTAATAACCCGAGAAAAAAAAAGAAGGTTTCCTTTTTCTTTCTTGTTACTTTTATTTGTTTGTTTGTCTGCAAAAAAAAACTTTCAAAGGTTTCTTTTCAAAGAAAAAAAAGGACCAAAAGAATTTTCTTTTTGCCAAAAAAAAAGTATTTAGGGATTTTATCATTCGATACTTTACTTTACTTACTTACTTTGGTTAAAGTCATTATAGACATCGATTTTTTTTTCTTGTTTTTTTTCTGATGATGATGATGATGATGATGATAGGCTTATTGGATGTTTTTCCCATTCATCTATATTAATGTAGTTATTAGTTTCTTGGGCGCTAATTTTTTTTTTTACTTCGTAATAAGATCTTTTGGTCATCTTTGCTTGGAGGTTATTAATAACAATGACCTTTGGCTTTTTTTTTGTTTTTCAAGCAAAGCATCATTGTCATAGTGAAATTTCCTGACAAATTGATAATAAAAATTACCTAATCACATTCATTGATAATTCCTGTCAACAAATTTGAAGGAGGGAGAACGGGGGGTTAAAATGTATTGCATAAAAGTGAAAAAAAAGTGCAAAGATCAATCATTGATGATGATCGATGTCATCATCATCAATGATTGTTGGTTGCTGTTTTTGTTGCAATATTTTTTGTTTTTTTTTTTTGTTCAAAACATATTTAACATGTGCTGTGCTGTCTGGGATCATTTATCATTTATCATCAACCTTTTTTCCATGGAAAGAAAAGAAAGAAAGAAGTTGGAAAAAGATTATTCTAAATACCCCAGTGTTTTCAATAAGAGAGACAAACAAACAAACAAATGGCCTTTTGTTTTTTGTATTTTTCCACAAATGAAATATTGTCGATTTGGAAACAGAAAAAATGGACAATGAAATGAGTTAGTAAATTTGTCGTCGTCGTCGTCTTTGTCGTTATTTGATAAAATAAACATCAATCAATTTTCACAATTCGACAATATTTTTGTTGTTTCTTGTTTTTTCAGTTCTTCATTGACATTTATTTCATTTTATGACGAAAAAAAATGAAAATGAAAAAGTGTGATATATTAAGAGAAGGAATTAAAGGTTTTTTTTTGGCCATGTTAAATATTGATGAATTGAATAGGAATTTGATGGAAAACATACAAGTTTTTTGACAAATCATTGAATGATTAATCTCTTTCTTTCTCTTTCTCTGTTTAAATTGATAAATATCGATTGATAATAATCTTTGTTTTGTTTCATTTCGTTTCATTTTTTAGCGTGTTTCAACATTTATTTGTGTTACAACTAGTTTATTTATTGGTGCCGTTATTCTAAGTAAGTTTTGTCATGTTTTTAAAAAAATTTTTGGTCATCATTTTTTTGAATTTTTCATTGATTTTTTTCATAACAGTTTCAAATTGTGGATCAAATTGGCATGTTGCAAAAGGTTCGATCGCTGGACCGTATCGTGCTTTTTCCAAAGAAAAAATCTATGCCAATGTTGGTGTTTATATTGGTTTGGATAGTGTTAATATTACAATGAAAGGTAAAAAAAAATGTTTTAACCCTTAATTACCCATATTTTACATCTCATCCCATCTCTCTCTCTCTCTCTCTCTCTCTCTCTATCTCTTGTATAGCATTACCAATACATCGACATCATGAAGAAATTAATTATAATGAACGTTTCTATTGGATTGGTGGTAAGTAGAATTTGTTTTTCTTTTGGTGGTGGTTATATTTTCTTATTTACTTTTATAATTCTGGCGATTGAATTGAATCAAACAAGGGGCAAAGAAGAAGAACATATAGAAAAAAAAATCCAATTCAGTGTTATTTATTTCAATCTTTTCTTTCATGATCTACTCTTGATTACAATCCAATAAAACTTTACTTTACTTTACTTACTATGTGCACTTTTTAACATTTAAACCGAGGATAGTTTTTTTTGAAACTTTTTAGCCAAAACGAAAAAAAAATCATTGAAAATTAGCATATTTAACACACTCGGATTCTTTAGAAAATCTGGTTGTTGTTGTTGTTGTCGTTTTTTTCATTGTTGATTATTGTTCTCCTTTTTACTGCGACTGTACTACTGATGTGAAAAACATGATGATGAATTTTGAATAATAATAATTTTTCTTTTTTCATCATTTTTTTTCGAGTTTCATAAGCTCAGGAAAATGTTTATAATCATAATAATATAAACACAATGTTACCAACAACGAAAGAAAATAACAAAGATTGAAAACGAAAAAAGGGTGGAAATAGTCGCCCCGAACTACCATCATCATTTTTTTTGAAAAAAATGATGATGATGCCAGAATTGATGTACAGTTTTTCATTCTGGTTGCATCATCATCATCAAATACATCCCAAAAATAACACTGTATGCGCTTTGTGAATATTCTTCTTCTTTTCCCATTATGTTTATATTAGAAAAAGAAAAGAGAAAAATCTTTGTTGTTGTTGTTAAGATTATTATTATTACGAAAGATTTATTGATGAAATGATTCTATCAAAGTTTTTTTCCTTCCTTCGTTCATCGTTTGTTTGTTTGATTTGTTTGTGTGTGTATAGTGCATCAGGAAAAAATGAAAATTTAACGATTAAAATTGACTTTC